TAGTTTGATTAGATTTTAAAATTATGTCCTAGTTGTTAGCTGCATTCAGCTCGAATAACAAGAAGCAAATAATAGTTACTAGATTATGCGAACTCGTGTTTGACTTTCATTTCTACGGAAAAATCAAATTCAATGACATTCATATTTCATATTAATTAAATGCAAAATAAACAATTCTGTAGTTGGAAGGCTTATTTAGGCTTTAAACTATTGTTATAAACTAATCTAAGGATAGTAGGAATACTTTGTCTAGTTTCCAAATGATAGAATCAGATGGTCCAATCCACTTTGCAATGTACATTTCTTCTGTGTTTAAAATAAACGTGACAAGCATTTTGCAGACTACAACTTCAAAAATATTAAAAATGTTATTAACAAAATAATTTATTTTGACTTTATATGGTTTAATGAAATAGAGTTATAATAAATATTTCTCATTATTAAATGCTTTATATTCTTAAACAGACTTTGGATTTTAACAGTGGCTATTAATTTTTTAATTTTTTAATTTTTTAATTTTTTCCTACTTATATAAATACAGTTAATATAGTCCTTCTATCTCCTAATTGTTTGAAACAATGAAATACAATGAAATACAATGATATCGACATTTGATATAAATTATGCATAAATTTATAATTTCAATTTGTAGTTAGTTTGATTAGATTTTAAAATTATGTCCTAGTTGTTAGCTGCATTCAGCTCGAATAACAAGAAGCAAATATTAGTTACTAAATTTTGCGAACTCGTATTTGACTTTCATTTCTACGGAAAAATCAAATTCAATTACATTAATATTTCATATTAATTAAATGCAAAATAAACAATTCTGTAGTTGGAAGGCATATTTAGGATTTAAACTATTGTTATAAACTAATCTAAGGATAGTAGGAATACTTTGTCTAGTTTCCAAATGATAGAATCAGATGGTCCAATCCACTTTGCAATGTACATTTCTTCTGTGTTTACAATAAACGTGACAAGCATTTTGCAGAACTACAACTTCAAAAATATTAAAAATGTTAAAAATGTCAAAAATATTATTAATAAAATAATTTATTTTGACTTTATATGGTTTAGTGAATTAGAGTTATAATAAATATTTCTCATTATTAAATGCTTTATATTCCAAAACAGGCTTTGGCTTTTAACAGTGTCTATTAATTTTTTAAATTTTTAATTTTTTAATTTCTTAATTTTTTCCTACTTATATAAATACAGTTATTATAGTCCTTCTATCTTCTAATTGTTTGAAACAATGAAATACAATTAAATACAATGAAATACAATGATATCGACATTTGATATAAATTATGCATAAATTTATAATTTTAATTTGTAGTTAGTTTGATTAGATTTTAAAATTATGTCCTAGTTGTTAGCTGCATTCAGCTCGAATAACAAGAAGCAAATAATAGTTACTAGATTATGCGAACTCGTGTTTGACTTTCATTTCTACGGAAAAATCAAATTCAATGACATTCATATTTCATATTAATTAAATGCAAAATAAACAATTATGTAGTTGGAAGGCTTATTTAGGCTTTAAACTATTGTTATAAACTAATCTAAGGATAGTAGGAATACTTTGTCTAGTTTCCAAATGATAGAATCAGATGGTCCAATCCACTTTGCAATGTACATTTCTTCTGTGTTTACAATAAACGTGACAAGCATTTTGCAGAATTACAACTTCAAAAATATTAAAAATGTTATTAACAAAATAATTTATTTAGACTTTATATGGTTTAATGAAATAGAGTTATAATAAATATTTCTCATTATTAAATGCTTTATATTCCAAAACAGGCTTTGGCTTTTAACAGTGTCTATTAATTTTTTAATTTTTTCCTACTTATATAAATACAGTAAATATAGGCCTTCTATCTTCTAATTGTTGGAAACAATGAAATACAATGAAATACAATGATATCGACATTTGATATAAATTATGCATAAATTTATAATTTTAATTTGTAGTTAGTTTGATTAGATTTTAAAATTATGTCCTAGTTGTTAGCTGCATTCAGCTCGAATAACAAGAAGCAAATAATAGTTACTAGATCATGCGAACTCGTATTTGACTTTCATTTCTACGGAAAAATCAAATTCAATGACATTCATATTTCATATTAATCAAATGCAAAATAAACAATTCTGTAGTTGGAAGGCTTATTTAGGCTTTAAACTATTGTTATAAACTAATCTAAGGATAGTAGGAATACTTTGTCTAGTTTCCAAATGATAGAATCAGATGGTCCAATCCACTTTGCAATGTACATTTCTTCTGTGTTTACAATAAACGTGACAAGCATTTTGCAGAACTACAACTTCAAAAATATTAAAAATATTAAAAATGTCAAAAATATTATTAATAAAATAATTTATTTTGACTTTATATGGTTTAGTGAATTAGAGTTATAATAAATATTTCTCATTATTAAATGCTTTATATTCTTAAACAGACTTTGGATTTTAACAGTGGCTATTAATTTTTTAATTTTTTCCTACTTATATAAATACAGTTATTATAGTCCTTCTATCTTCTAATTGTTTGAAACAATGAAATACAATGAAATACAATGAAATACAATGAAATACAATGATATCGACATTTGATATAAATTATGCATAAATTTATAATTTTAATTTGTAGTTAGTTTGATTAGATTTTAAAATTATGTCCTAGTTGTTAGCTGCATTCAGCTCAAATAACAAGAAACAAATAATAGTTACTAGATTATGCGAACTCGTGTTTGACTTTCATTTCTACGGAAAAATCAAATTCAATGACATTCATATTTCATATTAATTAAATGCAAAATAAACAATTCTGTAGTTGGAAGGCTTATTTAGGCTTTAAACTATTGTTATAAACTAATCTAAGGATAGTAGGAATACTTTGTCTAGTTTCCAAATGATAGAATCAGATGGTCCAATCCACTTTGCAATGTACATTTCTTCTGTGTTTACAATAAACGTGACAAGCATTTTGCAGAACTACAACTTCAAAAATATTAAAAATGTTATTAACAAAATAATTTATTTTGACTTTATATGGTTTAGTGAATTAGAGTTATAATAAATATTTCTCATTATTAAATGCTTTATATTCGAAAACAGGCTTTGGCTTTTAACAGTGTCTATTAATTTTTTAAATTTTTAATTTTTTAATTTTTTCCTACTTATATAAATACAGTAAATATAGTCCTTCTATCTTCTAATTGTTTGAAACAATGAAATACATTGTGACCGAAAAGCTTCCGGAAATTTTAAATAAAACGCAAAATTCTTAATCTTCATCAATATTTATTTTATCTCCTTCAAAATATGCTCCATTAGAAGCGATACACAAATGCCAACGTTTCTTCCAATCATCAAAACATTTTTTATAGGCGCTTTCCGGTATGGCTTTGAGTTCCCTCTGCGAATTCTGTTTTACGTCTTATATGGATTCAAAACGCGTTCCTCTGAGTGGTAATTTGAGTTTGGGAAACAGGAAAAAGTCACACGGTGCAAGATCAGGTGAATACGGTGGCTGTTCGATGGTATTTATTGAATTTTTGGCCTTAAAATCGTTGATAATGTTGGCTCGGTGCGAGGGAGCATTATCGTCATGAAAAATCCATGAATTATCCTTCCACAATTGAGGCCGTTTACGGCGGATAGCTCTCACGACCGATGCCTAGCTCTCGTGCTATCTCTCTAACACTCACATGAGGATTTTGGAACACGATTTCCTTTGCCTTTTCAATGTTTTCGTCGGTGGTAGAGGCCGAAGGTCGTCCAGAACGCGGCATGTCTTCGACGGTCGTACGACCGTCCTGAAAGGCTTTGTACCACTCATAAACTTGAG